GATTGAGATGCATTATTATTGGGGATGTGTGGTGGTCAAGGTGTGAAGGATTTGATCAAGCAGTGACAGGTTGAGTGGTGAGGAAGTTTTGTTTTGGGGAAGTGAAGGAGAAGCAGATTGTTTGCTTGCCAAGATGAAGTTTATGAAACTTGGATCGAAGCCAGATTCCTTTCAGACTGATGGCAATAATGTTAGGTGAGATCTTCTAGGGCCTTCTTTATGCTCTACCTCGTTCTTCAATCATCATTTTGTATTATTTTTCTTGCTATTGTGTCTCGTGCATATCAGTTCCTATTGTATAAACCTGCCGGTATAATTTTTTGTATAATTTTTAACTGGTTTTTCTGTTCATGTTGGATAAATTTGGGTTTTTCTTCTCACGGATAGTGCCTGTGTCCACTCATTTTTGAGCAGCCATCTGGTTACCGAAAAATTGGACAGTAAATTTTTTCATCCTTTTTTCATTTCTCGTCATTTTCTCCTGCACTCGTCTTAAAATTGTTCTTATTCTATGATTTAGTATTAACTCTGCTCTCTTTTCATTTTTCTTTGTTTTAGTACATGGAAACATAGTTCTCTTAGTGGGGCATATGAAGAGAACCTTAATTGAATCTATCACTTGCTCTATGATCAACTTTTTTTAAACCTCAGAATCATTGGTATTATGCATCTTGTTTAGTCAATATAGTATTTATTAGTGCTCTCATAGCTCTCATAAGCAGTTCACCACACATTATTTGTTATTTGTTATTGGTTCTCTTAGATTAAATGAGTATATATATATATCTGATTTAAAAAACCAGGATAATATATAGAAAACCAATGAGAAATTATAAAGTTGTGTCAAAAGTACAGAAAATGTAGAAATGCTAATTAAATGTCTTGCAAAAGCCTTATATAGGAATGAAGGATACGAGAGAATGAATTGTATTTTTGTATCATAGTCCATCAATCTTTTGATTGAGGGAGGGCTTTTAAATCCAATCTATATTTAGCCCTGTGGAAGGTATCATTTATTATGAATTGAAGCTGGTACTTTGCCATGCAACTTGGGTGGGCATACTATTGAAAAGTAAATTCAAATTACTTTCCTCGAATAAATGCAACAAGAGTCCCTGCTAACATCACTTACTGCTTTTGGCTGTCACTTATAAGCTGTTAAGGTACATGAATGGTCATTAAAAAAAACGTTGGCTATCACTTGTATTATTTTGAGTTGAGTATATATTTAGCAGTCTCTGTCATTTCATTGCTAGATCTTGAAAAGAAAAGCAAAGTATGATTAGAGTTGTTTTTCTTCATTGACATGGCATAGCTAGAACCTCAAATCTCTATTTATGACTGCTCTCATACGATAAACTATGTAGCTTTACAGCTTGGTCACTCTTGTGCATTAACAGTGACTTTAGGAAAGAAAAAGTGATGGGGTTCTGAATAAATTTTAGGAAAGAAAAAAGGTTGAGTTTCATTTGCATATTGCGAGCCTTAATTGTGTTTGTACCTAGGTCTTCCTCGCCTTTTATTTTACACTGTACCTATTATGAGGAGTCCTTACTAACACTTTAAACGGATCTCCATATATGCAGGTATGTAGCTACTGATTTGGCAACAGACATCATTGTTAATGTTGGAGATTCAAAGTTTTATCTGCATAAGGTATACTCACATTTTTCATTTTATGGTGAAATACATGGTTCCCCAGTGACATGCCTTGTATGTTGAATTTTCAAGTGGGGCGATCTATAGTCAAGAATTTGTTAGCGCTCATATTGGAAAGCAACCAGAACTAATACAGATGTGTTTAACTACCAACATTATGAGCTATATAAAAGAGGTGCAAGGCTTGTAAGAGTCATAAGAAATTATGGGTGTTCTCAACTTGTTGTTTGATAAAGATAAACGTTCAGTTTATCTTCTACAAGATATAACTAGTTGAAATATTATTTTAATACCTGCTTTGTTCATACTTGACAAATGCCTTATCACTTGATGAATTTTTATGATTTTATAGAGACTGGGAGACCATTGATTATCTAAATGTTGAGCATGATATATATGTTAAACTCAATTGAAAGTCAAGGGATGATAAAGCGTTGGCAAACTTAACTCAACACAACTCTATTGCATCTCAAATTTTAACTGCAATCTGCTGTGTGGCTACAGATAAATGTCTTGTGATACTGATCAGAGTGATAAACTTTTATGCAGTTTCCTCTTCTATCAAAGAGTGCACGCTTGCAGAAGTTGGTTGCAAACACTAACGAATCAAACACTGGTGAAATTTACATTTCTGACATTCCAGGTGGCCCTGCTGCCTTTGAGATATGTGCCAAGTTTTGTTATGGCATGACTGTCACTCTCAATGCTTACAATGTTGTTGTGTCTCGATGTGCTGCTGAATATCTGGGAATGCATGAGTCTATTGAGAAAGGAAATCTCATTTACAAGATTGATGTCTTCCTTAGCTCCAGCATCTTCCGGAGCTGGAAGGATTCAATCATTGTTCTTCAGACTACAAAGTCTCTTTTACCAATATCTGAGGAACTAAAGTTGGTTAGCCAATGCATTGACTCTATAGCTACCAAGGCCTGTGTTGATGTTTCACAAGTTGACTGGTCCTATACCTATAATCGGAAGAAGATCCCTGAGGAAAATGGGAATGATCCAAATTGGAACGGTGTTAGAAATCGTCCAGTTCCAAAGGACTGGTGGGTTGAAGAATTGTGTGAGCTTGAGATTGATTTATACAAGCGTGTTCTAACGAATATCAAAACCAAAGCAGTACTTTCTGCTGAAGTGATAGGAGAAGCCTTGAAAGCTTATGCTTACAGAAGGTTTCCAGGTTTTAGCAAAGGTATGATCCAGGGTGGAGATATGGCAAAGCATCGATCAACAGTGGATACAATTGTCTGGCTGTTGCCTGAAGAGAAGGGTGGTGTCTCTTGTAGTTTCTTGCTCAAAATGTTAAAAGCAGCTATATTTTTGGACTCTGGAGACATGACTAAAGGAGAGCTGGTAAGGAGAATAGGGCAGCAACTGGAGGAGGCTTCTGTAAATGATCTTCTGATACGAGCAGCAGAAGGAGAACCTACAATTTATGATGTTACTGTAGTCCAAAAAATTGTTGAAGAGTTTCTAAGGCAAGATCAGAGTGCAGAGATTGAATCACTAGAAGAACGCCATGAGCTTCAGGAGGTGAGAAGGCCGGGGATCTTGTCGGATGCTTCTAAGTTGATGGTGGCAAAACTGATAGATGGCTATCTTGCTGAAATTTCAAAGGATCCCCACCTACCCTTGTTGAAGTTTGTTGATCTTGCAGAGATGGTGAGAGGTTTCTCTCAGCCTTCTCATGATGGGCTCTACCGAGCCATTGATATGTATCTTAAGGTAAGAGCTTAGAATACATTTTATTCTTTTAATAGGCACTAGTCTTTGCATGGTGGCATGCAAGTTTTTACATGTCACTCTGCAAACAAGATGCTAAAGTGTTCTGTTTCGTTTGTATTTTAGTTTGATGCTGGATTATGTTCATTAAAAATATTTTTTTTTTTCTCCTGAGTGCTTTTGTGTTGTATTTTGTTAGTGTTGTGGTGAAGTATTTTTCACACTCTGGCCTTCTATGATGCAGGAGCACCCGGGGATCAGCAAGAGTGAGAGGAAGAGGATATGCAAGCTGATGGACTGCAAAAAGCTATCAGTTGATGCGTGTATGCATGCCGTGCAAAATGAGAGACTTCCATTGCGTGTAGTTGTGCAGGTACTGTTTTTTGAGCAAGTCAGGGCAGCTGCCTCATCAGGCAGCAGCACTCCAGACCTACCTAAAGGCATGAAGGATTTAAACAATGGGTCCCATGGGAGCTCAAGATCTGCGACAACCAACACCGAGGAGGATTGGGATGCAGTGGCCTCGGCCGAAGAGCTTAAGGCCCTAAAGGGGGAGCTAGCTTCCTTAAGGTTGAGCAGTGGTGTGGGAGGGAGTGAGAAGAATGGAGATGGCAAAGGCAGTGTTGACAAGGCGGCAGTCAGTAAAATGAGAGGGTTACTTAAGTCAAAGAAGAAAGTTTTTGCAAAGCTTTGGTCAAGCAAAGGGGTACAAGGTGAGAATAGTGGTTCTGATTCATCTGAAAGCCTTGGTTCTGCTAATCCTGAAGAGGCTAAATCCACACCTTCCAGAAATAGGAGGCATTCGGTTTCTTAGTAGAACTAAGGCACAGAAAGAGGTTGGAAATTATCGGGTTTCTCTCTCTATGATCTTAGCAACTTAAAAAAGACTTGGTGGTCTATTACTTGGGCAAAAGTGAAGTACATATAGTTTGGAAGAAGGGTTTTTGTTGTACTTGCAGAAAAAAATCACAGGTTGTGAGAAAATGATTACCTAGAGAATGTAACTGGTGATGCAATTGTCAAGAGTTCAAACTCTCACACCTAAATGTTCACTTGTCAAAATCTTTTATAAGATGTTTTGGTATGTCTAGTAAGAAAACATTTCTCTCTTTACATATAGGAAATTGTTCAGTGGTGAGCTTTAGCAGGCATGTCTTATGCTGGTTTCACAATATAAAATGCCCAATTCCATAAAGAAAATTGCCATACACCAAATCTTTTCAACTTTTTTCCCAACTCTCTCACATGACATGAAACTCCTGAAATTATGGAACCTTATTTTAGGTCCCGCTGTTGGACTCAAATATTAAAAAAAGTGGATTAAACAAAATTTAGACCTACAGATACAAAACAGTTCACTCAATTATACTACCATTACTAGGCTGGAGAGGTCATGTGAGACTCCTGAAATTATGGAACCTTATTTTAGGTCCCACTTTTGGACTCAATTATTAGAAAAAGTCGATTAAACAAAATTTAGACCTACAGATACAAAACAGTTCACTCAATTATACTTCCATTACTAGGCTGGAGAAAAGGTTGCTAGTATTCCCCTAAAACTACAATATTAACACTAAAACTACAAAATTTGCCTCTTTTTTTTGTTGGTCATTGTTCTAAAACTCTCTTGGATCAACAAAAATTGAAAGCCCAGGAGGAGATTTGGTCCAGTCTCCAATAGGCCCATCACTATAATCCTGCACCAGTCTCTTGATGCACCACATATCCTCGGCGCATGATAGTGTCTTCCAGTGTGGTATTGCTAACCTCAACGGTTCTTGACTTGCCACCTCAGTCGCCACCACCCCACAACCCAATTCCCTAGCCATGTTATGCGCGTGGCCACAAAGCGCTTCCACCATCTTTCCCGCGCGTGGGCCCTGTCCTCCCAAACCATAGAGAAAAACCAACCCAAAAGGCCTAAAAACCTCAGGTACCGAAGGGATCCTCAGCCAAGGTATTGCCCTGTCCACCACGCGCGTGGCCTTCGCCGCAAAACGCCGTGCAAGCGACGCGCCTTTGATTTCCAAAGTGAAAACCTCCTTACAATTCCATGCACTTAAAACTGCCCATGACTCAGGCGGTTCAAACAGAAACTCGGCCAAACCAGGCCACGAAAACCCGGTTGGGACTGCCAAAAAGGTGCCGAGATTGAGCTTGTTTTTCACAACCCTATCAATGTCCTGCGGGAAAAACTCGGTGGTGCAAAATCGGGAGCGGTAGAGAGCCTCGGCTTCTGGAGGGCTGAGTTTGATGATGGTGACTCGGTTGTGAGTTTTGACTCGGTGAGCAAATACTGGTTGGACCAAAATTGAAGGGGTACGAAACTTAGTGTAGTGGCATTTTTTAGTGAAGAGGTTGAGGGAAGGCATGTTGTCATTAAATGATATTCAAGAAAAGAGTATTCTAAAAAAATTCATAGACTTAGAGGAACTCCTACGTTTTTCAGTTGCCATGTATGAATACTCTGCTCCATTTCTTGTAAACCATTCCTCCATCTGATTAACAAGCTTCAACCCAATACCTCTTCGCCTGCAGAAGATCATAAGCCATACCAAATTAAATTAAACTAAATTCTGTCAAAATCAAGTAATTGCTAAAAGCAACTATTTGTGTCATATTTTGTAACATGTTACGTGTAGTCACATTTTTATTCGTGATGTGGTCCACAATATATGTAGTATTATTTGAACAAGAATATATATATATATATATGTACCTGTGTGAATGAGAAACTCGTAAGCCGAGAATATAAGCGAGTTTGGTGCAAATGGGTTCGAGTTTGGGATCAGAATCTTCATTGCTAGAGTTTGCAATTCCATTGTTACTTCTTATGAGCTTTTTGCCACAAGTAACGATTTTGATGCAGCCCCTAATGATCCCAACGATTTCTTTGTCAGGACCCATTTCAGCCACCTGATTAATATTATAACCACAAAACAAACCCCATTAAAGACCAATTAACAAGGTAATAAAAGTGAAAAATAAAAAAAACGAAAATGGAATTTAATTATGCTTTACACACACACACACACCAGCATGAGGAAGGAGGGTGAGTTTCGAATCCTGCAAATTGGGTCACCCAAAAGATCAGTAAAGAGAGACATTTTGCCAGATGAAGAACCACCAACTTCACACTTCCTCTCTAACTCTTCCACACTTCTCGTGTCCTTGTTCAAGTCCAACTCTCTAATCACCAACAAGCCTTCCCCTGCCTCTCCCATAATAACCATGATTAGTCACTAATCACACACTCTAATTAACCCACAACGCTAATGAGCATGGAAAGGTAGAGCTTATTATATAGTTATAGCCGCAATGGATAGCTATAAATATTTGGTTGATGGTTCCTCTTCTTTTCCTCTTTTTTTTTTCTGAAAGAAAATTTATAATGATGGGATTTTGAATTATGGGTACGGATTAAGTTGGGTAATCATTGGATTAGTGGAAGAGATAGAGCTGTTACGCTGCTTTTAAATTAAATCATTGCTTGGTTCTTGGGCTCATTAATATTTTTTTTTTTTTAGGTTTTAATTCATCGGTTAGAGGGAGGGGCTTATAATGAAGGGACACCTGGAGAGGAAGAGAGTTAGTGGAAATGGCGGCTCTGTGTCTGCGCAAAACTTTTCCTATTTTAACGTAATTATTAATTTACTTTGGAAGTTGCGCTGCAATTAAGCTCCCACTAATCCACGATTATGGTGCTCTATCATTTATTTGTTAATCTCTACAATTTATTTATTTATTTATTTTTATGAACATGAGTGAGTTAGTGAGACCACAAAATTGCCTAACTCAATGCTCGACATTAAAATCCAGTTGACGTTTGGGGCTCAAGGCTTTAGGCCTCTTGGACTTAGGCATGAAGAGGAAGGGCCCATTTGAGACATTGACAGCTTGAAAGAAAGTGAGTCCAATGGTTAGAAGCCCAGTTAGTAGATTTGCGTATGATACGCGTATATATGTATTTTTTGAAAACATTTCTTTTTTGTCGTACGAAAGCAAACCTATTTTATGTATGCATACGTATATATACTCCACGAATAATAGACGTCTTTTCGTATATTTTGCAGTAACACACGTAGTGTTTACGTATTTTATCAATGTTTTTTTTCACATACCATTGAAAAGAGCACCCAAGGGAAGGTAAAACATAAAATGCATTGTTGAGTTTTTCTTTGTAAGAGTTTTTATTTTATTTTTTAATCATGCCTCAATTACCACAAATTCCTAACTCGACTCTACAACAAATTGGGGTAAAAAAACATTCCAGACATTTAAGCATTTATTCTAAATAAAATAACAATGTATTTCTCAAATAAGATGGACCTTAACACAAATTCGTTGAGTTTATAATAAGAATGAACCACATAAGTTATTTTATTTGGTTTGGTTGTTGGTTTTGGTGTAAAGCAGATCAAATCGGACAGTGTCCACCCCTAATTGACTCTATCAAAAATTTAGAAAAATAAAAAAAGTCCAAACTCGGCCAAGAAAAACCATATCTCAAAACTCAACAAATCCAACAAAGTTGCAATTATCTCAAAACCCTGAATCTCCTCCTTCTCCCAAATCTAATTCTCAACAAGATTGATATTAATTCACCGTTGAATTTGTAATAAGAATGAACAATTTAAAATACAGAAGTTGCTAATTAGGATATAATTTTGCTAATTTTTTTAATTAATCAAGCTATACCTAGGTAGGGAACCATTGACAGCAAAAGTCAACCACTCCCAGCATAAACAAAACCGCTCAAAATCTGATTTCTCCAACAAATAGCTTCGAAACGACCGTCATGATCCCATTAGCTTTCCCCAGAATCTATTTTCCACATCTGGATTTTGTTTCTTTCCTTTCTTTCTTTTTTTGGTGGTGACAAAAATTTTCTGTTAAAATGAATGAATGAAGAAAATCAAAGATTACGTCTGAAGAAGGGGGCACATCATATGTGTGCCGCGGCTAGTAGTTATCCGAGTTATATTAGTAAATTAAGCACATCTTAGCATAAAATAATTGGATTTTAACCTCATTTAGTTGTACTTAACATTGATAGGTTTTTTTGGAGCTTTCTTGGCTTTGTTTCTGCCAAAAAACAACTCAGTGCGGCATAGGAGCTTGGTATGGCTCATAGTGGCATAAAAGACACATAATCAGATCACGTTTATCTTTACCTATGGATCGTTTATTACAAAGGATCAAGTAGAATATTGACAAGGGATTTGCCGTCACAAGAGTCAAATCCCATTAAAAAAAAAATAGATAAAAGAAATTTAACCTAGATGGTCTAGTGGCAAAAGGTAAGTATGGACAAGCAGTAAATATGAATGTCTTAGGTTTGAACCCTAGCCCGATGATGGAAAAATTTAAAAATTAATAATGCAATTCTAAAATCTCAATATTTATGCGAGTCTTCACATTAAAGGGCAAAATTGTCTCTCTAAATTTGTAGTTTTTCTAGGAAATTACTTGGCTCCTTACATGTAAGGAGTCATTCCTTCTTACAGACAAATCACAGTCTAACACGTATACATAAATTTTTATCTTTTCGTAATCTTAATGAGTTACTTTTGAATATGTATCACACAGTAATTGGTAGGTATGTAAGGAGCCAAACAGTGTCCGTTTTTCTACGTCAAAGATATTTTTATGGTAAAAAAAGTGCACACATCCTAGGGTTACCTCACAATATATTTCGGCAATCGACACTCTCTACATTTTAAGTCATCTTTTGAGAATGTTTAAACCTAAATTTTTCCTTTTGGCCTTACAGAGAAAAATGACGTGGCAATGGCTCATTTGAGCCAAGGCTTTGCGCCTAGAGACAAAAGTGTTCAAAGCCCAAAGCGAAATATGAAGTCGGATCTAAAAGCCCACGGCCGTAACACAATGGACTCGGCCTAAGCAACAAGGCTCGACCTAGGTCTCAAAGCATGCTAAAACACTGCGACCCAAAATGCCAAACAGATTGACTAAGGCCCACAAGGCCCAAAAATCATGGTTCGAAATCTCGGCCCAAGCACCAAGGGATGACCTAATTCTCTAGCCTAACCCAAATCATTAAAGCATAACGTAAAGCTTGATCAAAGTCAAGGCTCAGCATTTGTTCCTCGGCCTAGAGCAGTGGTGAACACACGACAGGCCAGAGGGGCCCGACAACCCTTTGGAATGCTGGAATCTTGTCTGTGAACTCCATAGGCAACCCCTTGGCCAGCCTGTGTGTGACCCCTTGGGTGCACACCAAGTGCGTGACGAAAGTCCTTCCCCCTTTGGCCTTTGCTGCATAGGGCGCGATGGCTAATTTTTTTTTAAAACAACTCCTAGCCAAACAACGTCTTTTGGTCCAGGTCTCTTAATTTTTCTTTTAAAATCACATGGCCTCAAAACTACGTCGTTTTGGGCCAAGTTTAAGAAGAAGAAAAAACACAAAACAAAAAGGATCAACACAACACCCTCCCCCTTTTACCCGATTTCACACCCCAACCAAATCCTCATTACCAAATCAATCGTCCTTAATCTCCAACCAACCCCCAACCTCAACTACCACCACTTCGCCGGCGCAGCGGTGCCGACCACATCCTGCTAGTAGCTGCCTCATATTTAAACCCCAAGTGAGTATAATTTTTATGTATAATGAAATTGATGTATATATAATATATGTAGATGCGTTTGCTTATATTGATAACGAAGCTATAAGGCAACGTTTTGAAAAGATGAAAACTCATTGTGGATAGTTGTAGTTTGTATTGTTGGTTTTGCCATGAGCTATGAATGAGAGTACTATCTTTATATTTTTTCATGTTGAAAAAAATTCAAATTTTTTACACTATGACTCCTTGGTCGGAGAATCATGGATTCGCCACTGGCCTAGAGGATCTTAGCTGAGTTAAAAAGCATGAGCATCGACTAAGGAAAGGATTTTCACATGCACCACCTCGAGAAGCGCACAAGAGCAAAAGGAATGATGGGATGTGGAGCTACTTTTTGAAACTTGAGATGCTCAGAGAATGGAACCCTTGGAGCTTGGCAAGAAAGAATGATCAGAAAATGCGCTTGGGAACAGTGATCGAGGCATGATGCGACGATAGAAGGGCGGCACAAGAAAACATTGGGCGTTGGCCGTATATCTCGACACCTTTTGAAGGCAGCAATTCGACTATAAATAGTACAACAGTTTCATTTCTAATATAAAAAGACCCAATCTCTCAACAACAAAAAAACGAAGCCAAAATGTTGTTCTATGTATTTCCTAAACTAGATTTAGATATTTTTATTTTTGTTTTCCTAGCATTCAACGTAGCATATCACTAAGAACTCTGAAGTTTGTTCAAAGTTCTTGAGCACCGTCATTGTAACCATTCATTCAATATATCAACAAACAACTATGTTCTTCAAAGTTTTCGCTTGAGCATCATCCAATCCGTTTTTTCTTTCATTGTTGCTTTTGTTTCATTTAGATTCAAAGAGGACTTGAGAGATCACTTGACACCCGAACACGACCATGTGGAGCACGACAATCTCAAGCACCTAAGACAATGTAATGCAAGTAGCCTTGTTGCCAAGGCTAAGAACCCAACTGCCGAGAAAACGTTCCTAACTCGGCTCAAATCATTTGACGAAGTCAAACCCAAGGTGAAAATCACCATAACACTTCCTCTACTTTCACGGAATCAACGACTGTGACAACTGACACACAGCGCAAAATACTCACACCAAGGACGATTTTATTCCCAAATTCGCTCAGCCCGTCAAATATTCTATTCAAAGTAGTCCACGTGGTTGGCCAAAAAGATTTAGAGTTCAACGAAGAGTTATCCTTATAATTGGAAGATGTGTGTTTACATATTGTGCAACTTTGGGAAGATTGGGATTATGCAAAACAGAAAGTAATTAAGAAGTAAATCTTTCCCATTACCCTGCCTAATGTACATATGTCCCTCTAGGTCAAGGAAGGGACATTTCAAATTAGCTGCAATTGCCAATGGTGATGCCTAATACGACACCCTTCTCTTACAACTAATCCAATGAATCCATAGCTTGGCTTTATGTGTACGGCCAAAGTGATGTCCCATCCCTTTATTCTATATATATATACCTAATTACACAACCGTAGTTAGTGACTAGAGTGGCCTTACATTCGGAAGCATGAAAATCCAAATTAAAGTGAGCTGTGAAAAGTTAATTGTATTGGAATCCCATTCTCCACAAACTTTGTTTTGTTGGA